TCCCGGCAAACAGGAACAACCAGCACGTTACACTGACGATGGAAAGAAGCGGGTGTCCAAAACGTCAGTCCCAATATACTTCGGTCCACGTCCATGAACCTTCTTCGTCTTTTTGGGGGATGATGACAACGACAAGATGTCCGGACATCAAATGTTCGCGCATATTATGTTACCGTTATAGTTATGGAGTAATTTAATCCACCAATATTGTCAATGAAAGCAAGCTGTCTGCGCTCACTACTGTGCTACCTGCTCTGAATATATGTAGACATCCAGATAGATATTGTGACATCACACTGACCCTGAATTGCGGAAGCACGGAAATACAAAGTCACGACTCATGCGAGTTTTCGACTTTCGCGCGAGTCCCGACTTAGATGGCCTTGAATGTCTGATCGGGTTTCTTTTAATGAGCAGTAATCTGTGATTTTAAATAAGTCGTACTAACGGCCGCTGCCTGTCCAGCTGCCTGCGTTTTGCCAAAAAAGTATTTTTTATTTCGAAAAACGAACTTTATGTGTTCACTGTCTCAAGACGTCCATAACACTAGCTGTGGGTTGCTTACCTTAATTACTTGCAATTGATGACAGCCTCCAATGTATGCGAAGGTCAAATAGAGCTACCGCTGAAGTAATAAGGCATTTGCCATCGAGGTTCTTTCCTTCTCTCTTTGTCCGCCAGATTTAGTATAAATCCGGGCCGTCCAACAATATGGATGGTCCAAATCCTGTATACCAATGACCAAAGATTATAAAAGTGAATAGCAAAAGTACTCAATTATTTAGTACTTAAAATGCACTTGCCTTATAGCGTGTACGGGGGAACGCTGGTAGCCGGATGCTGTCTTTACGTCGGCGCGACATTACATACACATTTACCACATAAACCAAGAACATCTGCTGCGCAACGCACGTAGCACATTAATCATAATCTACGGGACTATCCTAAGGATATTCGAGAGTAATATTCAACTTTACCGAGCTTGGTAATTACTCCCGTGTAGGCGTTTCTGAGAATTTCCTCTCGAGGCTCTGGACGTTTAACAAGTCAATATTCAATTTACTATGTTCTTGTTCGAGTGACGTTCACTGCAGCATTACTATGTGGTAGGTATAAAATCACATGCCCACTTTATGAACCTGGATGCAAATACTCCTGATAGTTCATTTATAATATTCTAAGGTGGCTACTTTTGATGAACTGAGAGCCGGCGTCTTTAGGTCAAAGTTTGGCGGGAGTAAATGTCGGCCAACAGAGGGCATTAGATTGTCGAATGCCACCGTAGTCGTTTCAGCCCTTCAAAAATCGCCCTCTGAGGATACGTAGTTAGCATGTTCTCCATATTGCTGTCAGTTCCCATTTTCATCTATAACAAAGTCAACATTGAACTATCGAGCAAATGCAGATATCACGCCAATACAAGCAAACATGCGAGTCCCAGGAAGTAGTTGAGAAGAAGACGACTCGATCGCTGGGA